AAAATAAAATCTCTCAGTCTATCAGAAACTCGGATTCATGCGTTCAGGGAAAGTCATGTTTGGACGCTCACATCGATTTGTTTTTCGTTCGGTGGGCTGATGCCTTCAGTGTAGCTTTTGCATCTTCTGACATAGAAATCATCTGAATCTTCTTTCTACCTCTCTTTCTTTTCACACCACGCATAATGTAATGATAAAAATTAAGAAAAAACGCTGAGGAAATATAATGTTTGGTTTGCTAGCGAGTGAGAACTGATTTGAGAATAATTGCACATGCGCGTGAATTGAATAAACTATGACCCGTACAATCTCGATTTGCATATTGTCAATCAAAGGTCTTGTTATTTGGTTACTCATGCAAATTAGGCAATTGGACATAAACATTGCCACGTGTGAGTGTTTTTTATTTTTAACCAGAAAATAAACAGCAATTTCAACGGTGTTCCAATAAGAATTCATTGGTCAAATTTTCACAGAATGTTCTTTAGATAAAAATCTATATAAAAAACTATTTTTGATTGAAATTCACAAATAAAGTGCATCTCTACCTTAATTGAGCAGCTAACAGCTTTTGAAATTTTTGAGCTCACCCATGACGCTTCGAAGAAAAAATGAGAATTTCAAGCCCTGAAGAATGTGTTAATCCAAAATAATCAGATTAAAAAGAAACAAAAGGTCTGTTAAGGTAGCGAGACTATTATTTGTGTTGAAAATTACGATTTTCACATTTATTTATTAATTGATGAAATGCACTATAAACTTTCATATGATAAAGTCAACATAATATAGAATGTCATGTAAGTTGGTTAAAATGTAGATTTTCTGAAGGGAAGCAAGGCAGCCTCAGTAGTGTTTTCCAAAATCAACAACACAGGTTTAATCTGTGTGCCTATAAGTTTCAAAGATAAACTCAAGACAAAGCAATGTTAGGATGTGTTATCAGTAGCTATCTGACACACAATGAATGTTTCCAAACATTTGAGTGGTTTGTCTCCGCCCCTGTTTGTTTCACAGATTAGTCATTTGCATATGAATGTGTCAGACACAAGGTCACACAGCCACTGAAAAAAAAATCATTGATTTTGGTGTTTTCATATGCCGAATTTATCCAATTATAGCTATCCCATTCCTTTATTTTTTGGATGTCCTTACACATGTTAAAACAGACCTTGATGGGAAAACAAATTGATTGTGCCGATAAACAAGCTTGAAAATCTTTGCTGTTACTTCATGGACGTTTTCTAGGAGTTTATGTTTTTCAAAATATAAGGTCTTTAACAAAAAATAACGTATACTTATTTTCGTCGGATTAACACCAAATTTTCACAGCTTTAAGGTGACAGTAGTTGCGTTCACGCACAGCTCCTTAGCACGGGCTAAGAGGTCAAATTCCTTAGCCCGTGCTAAGAAAACGTGCGTGAACGCTTAGCACGGGCTAAGGAATGCTAAGTACGGGTTAAATCTGACCCGAATTTAAGACGCGGTCTAGACCTTAGCACGGGCTACGAAGTATGCGCGAATGCTTACCCAGGCTA